CGAATCGTTTTTCATACTCTTGAACTAAGGATCTTCGGGTTCCTAGAGTGGGAAAACCAGCTCTCCTTTCTATGATCCTAGAAATAATTGTCTGCCGTCCATTATTTCTCCCATTTTCCCTTTATCCCTCCACATTTTCACTCCAACTTCTTTTCCTCCCTCGATTTAATTATTCCTCCTCTGTTTATTCCAACTAGAGATAATCTCTACAAGTGGAATCACTACCTGAGCATCCATCGCTCCTATATGAATACAGAGACCTAAGCTGACACTGAACGGTAGCAGTCCTAGCAATACAGAGGCACGCTCACTGAGGAAGTTCAGTAACTCTTCTTTCAAGGGAAGTTTTTATTTTCGTAGATAAGGGTCAATTTATTTATTTTTTTTCTTCACTTTTTATTGTGAATTAGGTGAAGGTGTATAGAGCAGGCAATAGTGTGAACTTCCACAATTCACACACATTCTGATTCAATGCATCCACTGCAATTCGTTTAATATTACCAAATATTAACCAACCTCCCTGTGTCTCCTGTTTTCATTCTTCCTTATGTAAGCCCTCTAAACCTTGTCTTTGGGCAAATGCTTCTCTTTTGATCTAAAATGGATGATTATTCTACCAACCGGACAGCTACGCTGTTTCTACCAGTCTTTATCCTAACCAACCAGTAAACCTGGTCTTTTTTTTTTTAATGAGTTTCAATTCTGCTCCACATTTTGCTCCTGTTGTATCCAGGACTTCCTAAGGTGATCTTTTTCAGAGCAGTTGGTAGCAGGAGCTGGATTAGATCTTATTCTTCTGATCTCAGACTTGTTGAGACTGAATGTTGTGTAGCTGATGCATCAGCCCATGGGGCTAATTCTTTCCATGGGTCATAGATTTTTGTCACTTTCTTTGATTTACTGCGCTCCTAGATTTGGCACAATATAAACCTATAAGGAGTTGGTATCTCATTAGGAACTGGTGTCAGCTTGGACATTTAAATGAAAATTGAAGGGAAAGTCTTTAGTTGCTTGACATTATTCCTTCATATTGGAACCTACTGAACATCTTCAGGTGAAAAACAATTGGGTGGATCTGGCTTTTAGTGAAGATCGGAAGCACCTGTTTATGATGTCGCTACACAATGAGTTTGTGGTTTGGGTTGTTAAACCATTTTACATGTTTTTTACTCATAGTCAAGGGGCAGTGTTAGTGGTGTCAGGTAAGTTTTGGACTGCTTACTTCAAGATGCACCGTTAAAAACCCACCAGCAGTTCGAATAAAGAAAGATAAAAGCTGTCTGCTGCTGCATGGGAAAACTTTTCTTAATCCAACCTGGTTGTCTGGCAGCTAGCTCCCTGTCAATGGACTGCTGTCACCATTGTTGGATGATCTTCAGCAAAATTTTACTTGCGTGTGCTATGAATGATATTATTCTATACATTGAGCATTCTGTTGAGTTTTGTTTGTTTGGAATGGGTACAAATATGAATCTCTACCTGTCAGTCTGTCCTTCAAATTTCCTGGCATAGATGAATGAGTGCTTCCAGTGCTTCATCAGCTTGTTGAAACATTTCCATCGATCATCTGTTAGCTCCTAGCGCTTTGTTTTTGGTTCTTGCTCATATGCCACATTGTGAGATGGTTGAATGTTAACTAGTTCTGTTTGGTACAGTGACTCTGTGTATTCTTTTCATCTTATGATGCATCCTGCATTGTTCAATATTTTGCCTATAGAATCTTTCAATACTGCAGCTTGAGGCTTGACTGCTTTAAGATCTTTCCGTTTAAGATATGCTGAGTGTGTTCTTCCTTTTTGACTTTATAACTCTTGGTTTTTGCACATTTCATACTATTTTACTCTGTCTTACCAAGCTGCCCTTAAAGCGTTCTGTTCAACTCTTCACCTTCATTGTTTCTTCCCGGTGCCATAGCTATTTTACTATTAAGAACAAGTTTCAGAGTCTCTTCTGACATCCACTTTGATCTTTTCTTTTTTACTTGTCTTTTTAATGACTGAGGTAGTTAGTTTATTGTGCCAACCTGGCTGATAAACACATGTGGGGTTCATTGAAGGGCGGAGGGATAAATGGCTCAGAGAGCCTCACCTTGCTAGTTCTCCGGTATCTGTTTTGTGATGGTCCAACCAGGGTGCAGCTGCCTTAGCCAGCTCCCTGCTTCAGCTGACAAAGCTCATTTTCTGCAAGACATCCCTGAGGAGAAGCCACGTGGACCTACCCCGATGCAGCCCTGGGTGCTGGAGCAGCCGTGTGACCTTTGCCAGCGCTGAGATGCTTACACGTTCACTGACTTGTCTTTCCTCCTGCAGTCGGCATCACTGCGTGTGTTTCGTGAGATGGAGGAGGACTTAGTGGATTGGTGTCAGACATATGGGTTATTGGTGGACTTGTGGGTTTGGGCAGCATTGGGTTGGGATGTGTTCTTGACGTGTACCTAACCTTTATATAAAACTCTCTCTTATACATCATTTTCTGTGGATTTGTTTCTCTAAAGTACTCAGACTAGCACAATGACCTTTTGATTTCTTCATATATGATGTTTTGATGTCATCCCACAGGTTCTATCATTTAGTGTTCCATGCAGCAAATATGTCCATAAGATGTTCTCAAAATTCAGGTGGGAGAGACTCAAGGTCATATTTTGGCTCTTGTAGACTTGTTTTCATTTTCTCCAGTTTCAACTTGAACTTACATATTGATGGTCTGTTCCACAGTCTGCCCCTGGCCTAGTTTTAGTGGTGACACTGAGCTTCCCCACTGTCTCTTCCCACAGATGTAGTCAATTTGATTTCTATTATTCCAACCAAAGAAGTCCATGCGTGTATCTGCCTTATGTACTGTTGAAAATATATTTGCTATGAAGACATGCAATTTGCAATTATGTCATGCAATCTTAAACTTAATTTCTATCACCAAGGCCATATCTTCCAACTACTTTTCCCTTTTCTTTGTTTCCAACATCTGCATTCTATTCAACAATAATTATCAATGCATCTTGATTGCTTGTTTGATCCATTTCAGATGGAAGATATTGGTAGAGTTCTTCAATTCCTTTATCATTAGCTTTGGTGGTTGGCATATAAATTTGAATAATAGTTGTATTAATTAGATTTCCTTGAAGGCAGATAGATAATAATCCTATCACAGATAGCACTGTACCTCAAGAGAGATCTTGAAACTTCCTTTGTGGAAGATGAATGTGCAGCCATTTCTCTTGATTGTTTCGTTCCCAGCATAGTAAGCCATATCTTTTCTGATTCAAAGTGGCCATTTCAACCTGCTAATAATATCTATAATGTCTGTTTTATGTGTTCTATTTAATTTTTTGCTTCTAATTTTCCTAGATTCATATTTTGTATGAATTCATTCTTCATGTGAACATATAAAAATTCCAATTACAAATTGGTGTGTGCAGCTGTTTCTTCTCATTTTGCGTCATGCTCCTTCAGCAGATGAAGGTTTGGAAAGCTTTACTCCCAGGGGCTTTACTCCATCACTGTGTGCAGCTCTCCTTTGAGAGAGCAGTTCGTTTTCAGTCTTTTTGAGTGCCAGCTCACCTGATGGGCTCATCTGCTGGCCCAAACTTCAACAATGTTCTGTTCTTTTTATGAGATTTTCAGTATCTCACAATGTTTTGATTCTGTCCATAAGGTTTTCAGAAGTGGACAACTATTCCCTCTTTGTAGTCTTTTAATTGTCCGGAAGCTGTGTTGACACGTGTTCCCTTTGGGTGACCCTGCTGGCATTTGAAATATCTGCGACATAGCTTCCAGCATCACAACAACACACAAGCCACCAGTAAGACAAACTGACAGAGGTAAATTGAGACAGTATTCATTCATTCATCTTCATAGATACCTTCTTTGAGCTCCTATTGGATGGACAGATTCCAGGTAAGGGCACTAACTGAAAACCAGTAGCTTCTAGTCACCTCCGCCTCAAGATCACGACAGCTAAACAACCACCAGTGTACGTGGGTGGACATCTATTTACTCCACTGGTGGGTTATAACTACGGGGAAGGGAATGGTTTCTTTGCAGGCCCAGGAGCAGACTAACCTTACACGTGTAACACTATATGGCCACCGTTTCCTTACAGAGGTAGGTAATAACAGTGTCTTTCATGAGGCCCTGAAGCTTCTTTCCTGGAAGAACATGAATAGAACTCCTCAGAAGGAAGCATAACAGTTAGAAGAGAAAAAGAATAATCAAAAAATGGAACAATAGACCAAAATGTAAGCAAAACATACATTGAAAATGTATTATTAATTGGAAGTAAATACATAAATCTTATCATTTCATAGTTCAATCATGTCAAGCAGTATCGTACAACTGCTACCACGATCAGTTTTCAACCATTCTCTTCCTTCCTGGACTCCTTGACATTGGCTCTATTTTAACTCCCATCGCATCACTGTACCACCACCCCCTGAAACCCTTAGAATGGTGGTTCTCAACCTCCCTCATGCCACGACCCTTTCATACCTTTCCTCATGTGTTGGTGAGCCCCCAACCATAAAATTATTTTCATTGCTACTTCATAACTGTCATTTTGCTACTGGTATTAATTAGGCAGCACCTGTGCAAGGATTGTTCAACCCCAAAGGGGTTGTGACCCACAGGTTGAGAACTGCTGCTCTAGAGGTTCATAAATCCTGGGTTTCATATACTGAAAAACACATAACACAACTTCGAGGGTGACCTCCAATGACATAACACCTCTGAGATAAACCCTAATATGAACAAGCAACAAGCAAAACAAAACTAAAATTCTGAAAATATTGAAACCAGATCAGGTCCAGGGCACATCAGAGGGAGCAAAAAAATGTTTCATCTATTTCCTGGTTCAGTTAATATTTAACATTTATAACCTACATTCTGTTGATAGAAGAAAGGTGTAACCCCAACAGCCACAGCATAAGAAGCCATCTGTGAGTGTCTCCCTATTGGCAAGACAACTGACATACTTTCCAAGTCACCTGAAGACCCAAGGAAAGAAAGATGGGGAAGCTTCTTCTGGGTGTATTGTTCTTCTTGGTTCTCTCAGAAGGCATGACACATTCAGGTAGGTACTTGGGAATAAATGTTCTCCAAGTCACAGGGGAATTGGTGTACACCACATTTTGTTGCTGCGTCTGCTGCTGCTGTTTTGGGGGGAGTTGAGAATGAATGATAATATTTAGGTTTTCTACTGGTATATATATAAAGTTACTTCAAAATTCAGAAGCTTATAATTATAAATATTTACGACCTCATAATTACAGTGTGTCAGAAATCAAAGAGTAGCTTATCTGTGTGACTCTGGCTCTAAATTGCTCCTGAGATTTATGTCAGACAGAGGAGTAGTCTTTGTCTACTGGCTCAACGAAGGAGCCACTTTGAAGCTCTCTGATGACCCCATTGGCAAGATCCAGATTTTCATAAGCTATTGAGCTGAGGTTCCCCAGAGGTTTCCCTTAGTTCCTTGCCACACGGGCCTTTCCACAGGGCAGCATACAATATAGCAACTTGTTTCCCCCTTAAAGAGTGATCCAACTTAAAGAGAGAAAGAATCCAATGTAAAAGTCACAGTCTTTTTATAACCTAATCTCAGAAATGACAGTTTCTTCTACTTCTCATTCACTAAAAGAGAGTCAGTCCATATTCATAGGGAAATAAATTATATTTGGACATTTTTTAACGTCGTCACTGATGGTGGTGAGTCAGGATGTGCGCAGCATCAGGCAGCCTCCTGAGAGGATGAAGGGGAGTGTGTTGTGCAACCTGTATAAAAACGCTGTCACCGCTCATCGGAGAGACTAGGAAGGGTGGGGAGGTTTTGCTAGAAAGAGAGAAGTTAGTACAGGAGTTGGAACGTTTGTTTGGTTGCTTCTCAAGGTCTTAATCTGGGCCACAAGAAAGAAAATTACAAATCTCAGAAGGAGCTTAGATTGAAATTTAGAAAACTAGTTTCTCCTAGTTAATTACCTTTGTGAAATTGTTGAATTTCTCTGAACCTCAGTTTCCTCATCTTTAAAATGAGGAGAGTGACAGAATCTATCTTTCATTTATTTATTTTTAGCATCTATCTTTTAAATGGTTATGAGGAAGATTTGGTGAAATTAATTACAGAAGAAGTGCACTTATGGTCTTTAAAATATTATAAAAGTTGTTTTTTAAAAAGTAATATGTTAAAAAATACATTTTTGGCAATACACCAACCCTTCATTCCCCATTTTTTCTTATTGTTGAAACTAAAGGAAACTTCAAGTGTGGCATGCCCGTTTCTCTATCACATCACTCTTGCTAGCAAGTTGCTTAATACCCTGTTCTATGATTAGACATACTGTTTTGTTTGGGTCCAGGTTTGGATACTGACACAACTACAAATAAAACTTAGGAAATAATTTGATGACAGGGTGAAATGCATGACTTATTTTCCCATCTTTCTGATGCATGTTGTACTGGCCAAAGTTCTTTCTAAGTCCTTACTATTTTCCTAGTCCCTCTCCCTAGGTCTTCAGTTCCCATTCTCTGTCTGGGATTGCTTGAAGAACCCTGGCATCTAAAGAAATCGTAATTCATGCTGCTCTTCCATTTCACACTATTAAGCAAGACTAACTCCATTCAAGGCTTCTGGAATATGTCTCCCTTGTTCAATTATTCATTATTCTCTGATTTCCAGTTTTTGTTAAACTTGTATTCCTCAGGAAATAAAAAAAAAATGTTGACCTTATAATGGTAAAGGCCACATGTTTTCTTGTGGATCTTAGAAGGAAATAAGTAATTCTGTGCTCATGATGCATTGCTTTGAGAGACAAGCAGTAAAGGATTGACCCTGAACTAGCAAAACATAGGTGAAAAAAGGAAGTGGAAATCAGAGGGAGGCCACTTTAAAGCTTTGAATCATGTGGGTTGCACACTATTCACGAACCATGAGAGTTGGTGGTGACCCATCACAGCCAAGCCATAATTCAAGAAGAACCATTGAAATTATGTGGAACTCCAGCCACTAGTATTCTATAATCTGACCAATAAAGAAGGTAGAAATGAAATGCTACATGCTTCAGCTAATCCACATTCAATGAGGGAGCCGTGTTTGATTTTCTTTAACTGGAGTTTGCTGATCTATTGGAGTAGAATCTCTTGTGAATACAGGGAGTGTTGCTGTCTTATTTAATGCTGCTATAACATAAATGAGTGGTTTAAATAACAGGGTTTCATTTTCTCAAAGTTCTGTAGGCTAGAAGTCCAAATCAGAGTCTTGGTCATGTCAAATCTTTCCTTGGTAGTCCACACATTTCATATTTGCATTTGTCTTCTCCAGCATATGCTTGTTTCTATGCATATAATCAGTTTTGTTTATAACTCCAAAGTGATTTATTATGTTAATGAGGCCATATGAGTATAGTGTATACTCTGTACTCATATGGACTCATTAACATAATAAATAAACGTTATTATATGCACTGGTATGGGACTAGAACACTTATGCATATTTAATAAGTTAATGTATAATAAAAACAATAATAAAATTTGTAGTCGAATTGATTCCAACTCACGGGGGCCCATGTGGGTCTGAGTGAACTGTGCTCTATAGGGTCTTCATGGCTGTCCTGTCAGAGCCCTGTCTTAGACATTGTATACCCGGGGACTCCAAGAGTTGATCGAGGGCGTCTTAGATTCTTCTTTTTGACAGGACATCTATGCCAAATCTGCCTTTTCAACACTAACATTTTGCACATACAGTTGCTGAGATAATGTTCTTCGGGCCCTTTAGAGAATCCAGTGTGCTGTAGACGTTCTGTCTCAGGAAACAGCAAATGTTGCATTGTGAGAGCAAAGCCAAAAGAAAGTTGACCACATTTTTGTCACGTTTTCTCTTCTCCACAGACCTAAGAGGGAAGGTGTTTATTTTTCCTCAAGAATCAAATACAGCCTATGTGTCCCTGATCCCAAATATGAGAAAGCCACTGAAGAGCTTCACGCTGTGTCTGAAGGGCTTCACGGACCTCACACGGCCTTACAGCCTCTTCTCCTACAACACCCGGTCCCAGGACAACGAGCTGCTTCTCTTTGTGAACAAAATGGGAGAGTATGGTCTCTATCTTGGCAATGCTGAGGCCCTTTTCAAAGGTCCCCAGACATCTTATGGTCCGATCCATCTCTGCGTCAGCTGGGAGTCTGTCTCTGGGATTGCTGAACTCTGGGTGAATGGAAAACCATTGGGGAGGAAGGGAGTGAGGAAGGGGTACACTTTGGGGGCAGAGGCGAAGATTATCCTGGGACAAGAGCAGGATTCCTATGGAGGAGGGTTTGATGCAAAACAATCCTTTGTTGGAGAGATATGGGATGTTTCTTTGTGGGACCATGTGCTTCCCCTAAAGTACATGTGTGCCTCATGTCACGGTGGCAACGTGATTGATTGGCAAGGCCTGAATTATGTAGACAATGGTTATGTGGTGATTAAGAACAAAATGTGGTTTTGAGCCTTGCTTTCTTCTGTCATGATTTGTGTTTGTGATAGTCACTCATAAATTCCCTTTGAAATAGAATACATTGGCTTAATATTTTTCTGTTAAGATGGTATAAACTATATAAAGAATGCATGGATAGGTAGGTCATGACCATCCATTCTTTATTGTTACAAAAATCACTTCAGGCAAATTGTACAACATTCGCTACAGTATCAAACTATGGGAACCCAAGAAAACACACTGTTTTCTGTATCAGGCTCCAATCTTCTAGAGATTTCCACAGCAGTGACTAGATCATATGCAGGTTTTTGTATTCAGACTCAGCAGTCTATAAAAATGGCATGGCTACTTGGGGGCTTTAAAGAATGAACTACTATATCGGGAGCAAAATCCCCGCAGAGAGTTCCAGAATTAGAGCTTTCAAAATCTCCCCTTGCTTGTTCCCACAAATAAGGTTGTGAGAATACTTCTCTCATATTTAACACTAAGAAGGAACTCAGGAAGCCCAGATAACGGCAAAGGTACAGTTCACTGGAGACCCCTCTTCACAGTCACTTTCAGGCAGGCAATGTATCCTAAAACATGTACCTCCTTTTTGATCCATCAGGGATTCCTCAATCCATTGTTGGACATACACTTTCCATGCATCTTCAGTAGGGGACATTTAGGCCTGGCCTTAGTGGGGAGTAGAATGATGGGTAGGACATACAGATTGATCTCTTTTTCTATGGATTGAAAAATATTTGGCAAGTTCTGCCTACTTTCTTTTCTCCGGGCTAAATCTGAAATTTCTACAACTTTCTTACAAATAAAGATAACTTTCCCTAAGAAAAGCAATAACATTAGGAGAGCGAAAAGACTTCCAGAATCTTGTTTAGACAAATGTTTAAATTTAGGATTAGAACTAGGTACTCAACTATTCATAGAAATTAAGCTCATCAATGTACTGATGAAGTGGGGAAAGGAAGAAATGAGGATCAATCACATTCTACACCAGGAAGAATGAACATCATGGGCCTGATTTCTAGATCAGAGATAGCAAGGTTAGTAGGGATGTGAGATTAATAAATTTAATTGCCAAAGGACTTTCAGATAGCCCTATGCTAGTGAATATGGTATAGTATATGTGCTTCTTTATAGGGCGCCCCCTCCCCAAATTCAGTTGCTGGATGAAGTCATGTTATTTACCAACCATGGCCATGTGGATAGTCAAGATTTACTGAATGTACAGTTCTAATGGGAGGCTCAACAAAAGTGCAAAGAATAACATTTCATGGATCTTCAAGCCAGGTGAAAATCTTTAAAGTCAATAACCTTTCTTTTGGAATGGCAGGGGTCTGTTACTCTTGTCACTGCTCAAACAGAAAGATGTGATAAGTGAAGAAGGTAGTTTCAACTGTGTTTCCAACATTCAGTGCATTCACCAATACTTTTTGAAGTTTCAGAACTCGGAATATATCTGACATTTAGATTGCTCTTTCAACCGACCATTTCAAATACGAAGCTCAATTTTCTGTCATCAAAAACTGATAACATCCAGGCCCTTTGCTTATGACTCAAATGGTAAACTGTCCATCTTGTCAGCAGCATCTGGCCCTTTCCCTGGCGGTAACCTATGATGTTCGTGAAAGATACAGGTTTTTGTTTTGTTTTTTTCTTTTGGTCATTGTTAGAGTAAACCAGCCTCTAACAATATCACGGGGTTCGTAGCTACAATTATATGGCTATAATACATAAACATATAGTAAAATCATGCAAGATAAGAAGAAGAGTTAAATAAAGCATGTTCACCTCAGCCCTTCTTGGTGGTCCACGTGGAGGTGGGAGACAAGAGGAGGAGAGTTTGAGTATATTTCTAACCAAGGCTTATATATCCTTAGGGGGCATGCAAGCCCCCCTGATTACAAGTAGCCACATACGTAACAGGAGGGAGTTGTACAATAGGAATACGCGTAACAGGAAGGGGATGAACTAGGGACGTACATGCAATAGGAAGGGGAGGGACTAGGGGGAGACATGTGACAGGATGAGCGGACCTTAGATTCAAGATGGAGAACTAACCTTGGTCCTCCCAGTGTTGCCTTGGCCTATTCTGAGCTCTCCTTCAGGAAAGCAATCCACTCTCCTTATCGGCAGGCAGTGGGCCCCACCTATCCCAGGACGGACAATAGTGTCTGATTGCTCTGGATGGCTGATGCCCTCAAGGAGAGAACTTCTAAGCAGCTGAATAACTACCAAGTGCTGGCAAGCAGCAGACAACCTGGGGAAAAACCTTTCTGTATCCCACAGGTCATGTTTAAAACACACAAGTCAAGGGAACTCTGTTTGGTGGGGCATCCTTACCACCAAATTCTGCAACTTTCTTTACACAAAGTAGAGAAATGCTATGATCGACACTTTAAAGCAACAACAACATTGTTTGGTCATTTCAGTGGAAGTTTATAGCAAATTGATTTTCCATTCAACAATTCATACTCATTTTGCTTGGTGACATTGATGGCAGTCCTCACAATGTTACATCACTCTTCCCATATCCTTCCTGTATTTACCATTTCCATTTCTCTCTCTGTTCTCCCCTTACTGCCTTCTGAGTCTGGGAAAATGATGCCAATTTGATATGACTTAAATAAAATATGCAGACTATGAGAAACTCTATATCCAGCTCCCAAAGATCCTAAGAAGGAGGCTTTTTGCCAATAGCACGGTAGAGGGCCTCCTTGACTTCCTTGTTCCTTAGAGTATACACAACAGGATTAAGGAGTGGAGTGAAAACTGTATACGTCACGGATATCAGTTGGTCCTGATCTTTTGTGTTTTCTGATTTGGGCTTGAGGTAGGCAATGGAGGCGCAGCCATAGTGGACAATGACCACAGTGAGGTGGGAGGCACAGGTGGCAAAAGCTTTCTTCCGGCCCTCAGCAGAGGCAATCTTGAGGATAGTGGAGATGATGAGGATGTATGAAATGAAGACCCAACCCATAGGCACTACAATAACCAGTGAACTGACAATCAAGTTAATGATGTCATGCAGAGTGGTATCATCACAGGAGAGTTTCATTACTGGGCGGATGTCACAGAAATAATGTGCCACCTCTCTATCACAAAAGGGCAGCCTGAACACAGAAGAAATCTGAATGATGGCCACAAGCAGTCCAATGCCACAGGCACCACACACCAGCTGGGCACACACCCTCTTGCTCATGATGACCATGTACCTCAAGGGGTTGCAAATTGCCACATACCGGTCATACCCCATTGCTGTGAGCAGAAAACAATTGTTGATGGCCAAAGTGATGAAAAAAAACATCTGGGTGGCGCAACCAGCCAAGGAAATGGGTTGGCTGAGGCCTATGAGGCTGGCAAGCATTCGTGGTACAATGACCAGTGTGTACATGGTCTCAGAAACAGATAGCATAGTAAGGAAGAAGTACATGGGCGTGTGGAGGTGACGATCAATGCTGATGAGGGTCACAATGATCACATTTCCAGCCAGCGTTAAAAGGTACAAGGCAAAAAATACCACAAAAAGCGTCAGCTTGTGTTCATGGAAGCTGGAGAAACCCTGTAAAACAAAGTCACGCACCACTGTGTAGTTTTCTCTGTTCATTGAGTAAATTTCAGATGTGAAAGTCGAGTCAGAACCCTTCCTTCTCAGTGTTCTGTGCAGGCGAGCTCTAGGAGAAAGAGGCAATAAAGATGATCCTGCTGTTGCTAGAATCACGAGGACAAATGTTCACCGATAAGTAAAAGAAAACACAATTGGAAAGTGATTTCAAGGATAGAGATTTATGTTTGAAAGGGTATGAAAAATGGGGATGGGCTAAGGCAGAAGGAAGAGTGCTTGGAGCAAGTTAGGAATAGTTTTCCTGGCAAGTTAGGACATTAATGTTAGGAGAAAATTGAGACTAAAGAAATGGGGAGTACACATTTAAACTTGAAAGGAATTTTCTCTCACAGCCCCAGATATATTTTACACTTAATACATATTTGTCAATCCCTGCCGTAATTGTGATCATTTTAAGATCTTTTTCCCTGGGTTGTTAAAGAAGACACTGTTCTGCATCAAACAGATAGTAAGTGCTTGTTTTCTTCCTGTACCTACTTGCCTATATATCTTGCCTGGAACTTTTTTATAATCTCTAACAGATGAAAATCTGACTATCCCTGGCACCACTACAACCTACTTTGAAAAATATAACAAAATAACAACCACATCAATTAAAAACTGGGTGTGCCCCTCACTTGCTTCAGCATCTGACTCCTCTCTTCTTCCCCAGGAAATGTTTTAAACCTGTTGTAACCTAAATTTAACCTATCAATCCAAACCCTAAAGTGTTGTCCAAGTAATAGTTCTGGTATTTATCAGTAACTTGTTTTCTTAAACAATGTGAAGATTCATGCATTTCAAAACATTTTCTAACTTGAGCTTAGATGTAAATTTTCAGTTTACCTCACTACTAGACTCTGAACTCTTTTTTTCTTCAGAATGCCCAATAGGCTATCTTTTGGGAAACAACTTTGTAGACCTCACCTTCTCTCTCTGAGAGTTATTGGGATAAGAATGCTCTGATCCGCATAAGGACTTTAACAATCATAAAAATTACTAAGCTATTTTTGCTTTAACACATATTACTTAATACCATAATACCAGTGTATTTTCCTAAATTTGGATATGATATTATGCTGGGAAAACAACTTATAACTGATTTTTATTTTCAGTATCTTATAAGTAGATGACACTATTAGCATGTCTATGATAACCCATGTGGACTCCCTTGGCATAATATATCCACTTCCAGTAATTTTATTTTAAGGAAATAATCAGAGGTATATATTAAATACACTATGTGTGTACTATGAATAACATTATCAGAGCTATCTAACCATCTAGACACATTTTTTTTGTGCTGTTATTTGTAATGGTGATGCCTGGAAGCAATGTAAATTATTAAGGGAAAGACTGAGTTACAACATATCCATCTGATGTGAACTATACAATGATTTTAAATAGAAAAAGTGCTAAATGATAGAAAAATACTACAGCTACGGTAGATAGATCATTTTCCTTGGAAATGTGGGGATGGACCACTGTCCTTCACCCTCACCATCATTACTTCTGTTTAAGTACGATTTATTATGTATTACTAAACTAGATAAATATGTATCTGAGCAAACCTGATGGCCCCTAACAGCAGCAAACAAGGTGAAACCCAGCCCTTACATAAATAAGAAACCAATTCCATCGACACTAAGAAGCATGGAAAACAAAAAGCCTCTGTTATTGAAATGATCGAATTGAGCTTCTGCCCTCCCATCTCCCCTCTTCTCCTCGCAGGAAAACTATGGCGCGTCTACCCAACAAAGACCTGTTCAAAGTGTTCACACACGTGGAGTACAACCATGGTAACAGAAAAAAGTGGCTGTCTCCCGTGGGACACGTGTCAAAGGGAAAAGGAACACTCTATAGTCTTTTTTATTCCTCTGGATTCGAGATCATCATATAATGGCTCCCTCCTTTAGAAAAAAGTAAAATTTCTTCTAACAATACACTTTTTTTTTTTGCCTAAACGTCACCATCAGTGCTGGGCAAGGATTAGTTTTTTTTCATGTTATTATTCAAGTGTCTCTAATTGACAGCAAACTTGAAAAACATTTGGTAATTTTGAATCTTTTACATATTCCTGACTCATAATATGATTTAGATTTAGGAGGTAATTTAAAAAGCACAGCATTTCTCAAAAATAGTCCTCCAAATTCTGTTTCAGTGTTTCCAACCATTAGAAATTCAATATCTTATTAGATAGTACCCATCTTAAAAAGATACTACATTTACTGAAAACCAAGATTTTTAAAATTATGGAAGTAATATGTGCTCATGAAGAAAAAAATATATAGTTGTATATAAATGAATGGTAGCTATTTTACCTCTCCTCTGTATTTTATTTTGTTTACTTTTAGCCAGAAATATTCTATGCACATCCATACATATTTCCATATACCGTGCTATTTTACTTCACATACTAATAGAACAGAATAAGCTTCACATACTAAACGATTACGGGTTTTCCTTTCATTTAATATTCCATCTTGCACACATTCTGTAATAGTACTGTAAATCTATCTCAGTCTTTTCAATTCCAACAGAGCATACTATTCCATTATACAGAGGTACTATCATCCATTCCCATTTTGAAAAGCTTTAGTTCTTAGAGAATGCTACTTTCTGTTGAATCAAGATCTATCTCCCTCTAACTCACCACCCTCCACGTTATTCCACTTTCTACTTCCTCTTCAACATGATAGTATTTCAGATATTTGAAGATCATTATCATGTCTCTACTAAATTTCATGTCTTTGAATTCATTACCACAGCAAGATGAGCATGAAGGAATACAGGATTAATGGACATGAAAAGCATTATCCCCAGCCAAACACTAAAGCCATAGGGTGAGAATAGTAGGATTTGGGGGAAATGAACAGGGCACTCTATTTCCTTTACTTCTGAGAATAGCCACTCACTTCTTCTGACCTTGGCAGTAGGAAGAAGAAGGTAGCATTTCCAACATAGTATCTTTAAACGGACGTCACGAGAATGAGTCTACTTGGATGGAGCAGGTGGAATAACCCTGCATCCAAAAGGCAAAAGAAATTAAAACTTCAAAAGCAAGAAGAATTTAGTTGTCTCCAATACCAGAGGGAGAAATTCAGACGATGGCTTTACATCTTGAGTATGAGGGCTTTGGTTCTTTGGGCCCAGGAAATGACCCAGAGAAAGAAAAACGCAGGCTCTTAAATTCCAGATTTCAGCAGCTTTGGATGTTTACGCTCCCCAAAGAAGAGCCGATCCCTATGCCACACATCTCCAGAGACCTTCCCTTTGAGAATCCTGAAGGAAGGAAGGTAGAGTCTAAGACTTGGTCTCAAGGGCTTCATTAAGAACTTGGATAGCAAATGGAGAGATGCTCTGATTTATCTACTAACTATTAAGGCTTTCACAAATTAGCAATCCATTGAATTCTAGTCCAGTAAGCCACACAAAGGGATAACCTCCTAAAGCAGTTGTTCTCAACCTATGGGGTCGTGATCCCTTTAGGGGTCCAACGACCTTTCACAGGGGTCCCCTAAGACCATCAGAAGACACACATTTCCAATGGTCTTAGGAACTGAGACACCGCTCCTCTATCCATCTCCAGGCAGGTCTACCCACATGCAGATACGCCCACATACAAGTACCCTGTGTGACGACCCATGCCACACCATGCTTCAAGACAAAATTTCATTTATTTGTCATTAAAAATAAATATTTCATAATCTATAATTACATATTGTTCTTGTGATTAATCACTATGTTTTAATTATGTTCAATTTGTAACAGTGAAAATACATCCTGCATATCAGATATTTCCATTATGATTCATAACAGTGGCAAAATTATAGTTATGAAGAAGCAGCAAAAATAATTTTATATTGGGGGGATCATCACAACATCAGGAACTGTATTAAAGGGTTGCAACATTAGGAAAGTTGAGAACCACTGTCCTAAAGGAATGCCACTCAATTTCAGGACAAACAGGCTTTTAGGTACCAGGGAGAACCCTGTCCAAACTCAACCTACAGTAAATATCCTTCAATCTCACAGGGTATTCATGTCTACCTCAATTTTACGTTTGAGGAGATCAGTCTTTCATGCTTCGAGGGGCAGAAGACCCTTTCAAACCCTTTCTTCATGCTCCTTTAATTTCTTCTCTCTCCTCCTCTCCTTTC